TACCTCCCACGGCCACCAGTCCCTTCACACTCACAACTGACTCCCCTGTCATTACCTCCCGTGGCCACCAGTCCCTTCACACTCACAACTGACTCCCCTGTCATTACCTCCCGTGGCCACCAGTCCCTTCACACTCTCAGCTGACTCCCCTGTCATTACCTCCCGTGGCCACCAGTCCCTTCACACTCTCAGCCGACTCCCCTGTCATTACCTCCCGTGGCCACCAGTCCCTTCACACTCACAACTGATACCCCCGTCATTACCTCCCGTAGCCACCAGTCCCTTCACACTTACAACTGACTCCCCTGTCATTATCTCCCATGGCCACTAGTCCATTCGCTCTGCAGGCTGACTCCCTTGTCATTACCTGCCGTGGCCACTAGTCCATTCGCTCTGTAGGCTGACTGCCCTGTCATTAGCTCCCATGGCCACTAGTCCACTCGCACTGCAGGCAGACTCTATTGTCATTACACGAGTAACGAATTGGCATGTTCTGTTTACGTGACAAACCTTACTAATCTTTCGTTTCGAAGCGGTCGTAAACCGGCACTTTTGTTCCGTCACACAAACAACTTTATTTCCGGGCGGTGCCGGGTGGTGCCGGGTGGTGCCGGGCTGTGCCGGGCTTCACGGCACAAACATTGTACTTGTGCGGCGGTGATCCACCACAAAAAGAGAGGAAATTCCAAGTAGGGAAAACGCAAGAGGGTCGCGGTGGTGGTAGTGGTGGTGGTAGTAGTGGTGGCGGTAGTAGCGGTGGTGTTGAAGGCGGTGGTGGCAGTGGTGGTGGTAGTAGTGGTGGCGGTAGTAGCGGTGGTGTTGAAGGCGGTGGTGGTAGTGGTGGTGGTAGTAGTGGTGGTGGCGGTGGTGTTGAAGGCGGTGGTGGCAGTGGTGGTGGTAGTAGTGGTGCCGGTGGCGGTAGTGGTGGCGGTGGTGGCAGTGGTGCTGGTAGTGGCGGTAGTGGCGGTGGTGTTGAAGGCGGTGGTGGCAGTGGTGGTGGTAGTAGTGGTGGCGGTAGTAGCGGTGGTGTTGAAGGCGGTGGTGGCAGTGGTGATGGTAGTAGTGGTGGCGGTAGTAGCGGTGGTGTTGAAGGCGGTGGTGGTAGTGGTGGTGGTAGTAGTGGTGGCGGTAGTAGCGGTGGTGTTGAAGGCGGTGGTGGCAGTGGTGATGGTAGTAGTGGTGGCGGTAGTAGCGGTGGTGTTGAAGGCGGTGGTGGTAGTGGTGGTGGTAGTAGTGGTGGCGGTAGTAGCGGTGGTGTTGAAGGCGGTGGTGGTAGTGGTGGTGGTAGTAGTGGTGGTGGCGGTGGTGTTGAAGGCGGTGGTGGTAGTGGTGGTGGTAGTAGTGGTGGCGGTAGCAGCGGTGGTGTTGAAGGCGGTGGTGGCAGTGGTGATGGTAGTAGTGGTGGCGGTAGTAGCGGTGGTGTTGAAGGCGGTGGTGGCAGTGGTGGTGGTAGTAGTGGTGGTGGCGGTGATGTTGAAGGCGGTGGTGGCAGTGGTGATGGTAGTAGTGGTGGCGGTAGTAGCGGTGGTGTTGAAGGCGGTGGTGGCAGTGGTGGTGGTAGTAGTGGTGGCGGTAGTAGCGGTGGTGTTGAAGGCGGTGGTGGCAGTGGGGATGGTAGTAGTGGTGGTGGCGGTGGTGTTGAAGGCGGTGGTGGTAGTGATGGTGCCGGTAGTGGTGGCGGTAGTGGTAGTGGTGTTAAAGGCAGTGGTGGTGGCGGTAGTAGTGGTGCCGATGGCAATGATGGTGGCGGTGGTGGCGGTGGTGACGGTGGTGGTAGTGTTGGCTGTGACAGTGTGGGCGATGTTGTTGGTGGTGGTGGCAGCAGTGACATTGGTGGTGGCGCCGGTGGTAGTGTTGGTGGTGGTGATGTGGTGGCGGTCGTGGTGGAGGCGGTGGAGGCTATGGTGGTGGTGGTGTTGGTAACTGGGGAGACAAAGGCGGCCGGGTGTGGTGCTGACTACCCACCCCCTCGTGAGCCAAAGTGCCGGCAGCCTTCATAGGCGCTGCTGCTACTCACGAACAGCACTTGCCCCGACAGTCTGTTGAGGCTACACGGGGCATCTTTGTCTTTGGTGGCAGCGGTGGTGGTGGTGGCTCCGTGAAATCTCCGGCAGAGGTGTTGGAGGGGGCGGTGGTAGGGAGGGTGGGGGTCAGGGGGTGGGGGTCAGGGGGCGGGGGTCAGGGGGCGGGGGTCAGGGGGTGGGGGTCAGGGGGGGGGGGTCAGGGGGCGGGGGTCAGGGGGGCGGGGGTTAGGGGGGGGGGGCAGGGGGTGGGGGTCAGGGGGTGGGGGTTAGGGGGTGGGGGTCAGGGGGTGTCCGTGTCTCCGTGTCCATGTCTCCGTGTCCATGTGTCCATGTCTCCGTGTCCGTGTCTCCGTGTCCATGTGTCCGTGTCTCCGTGTCCATGTGTCCGTGTCTCCGTGTCCGTGTCTCCGTGTCCGTGTCTCCGTGTCCATGTGTCCGTGTCTCCGTGTCTCCGTGTCCATGTCTCCGTGTCCATGTGTCCGTGTCTCCGTGTCCGTGTCTCCGTGTCCATGTGTCCGTGTCTCCGTGTCCGTGTCTCCGTGTCCGTGTCTCCGTGTCCATGTGTCCGTGTCTCCGTGTCTCCGTGTCCATGTCTCCGTGTCCATGTGTCCGTGTCTCCGTGTCCGTGTCTCCGTGTCCATGTGTCCGTGTCTCCGTGTCCGTGTCTCCGTGTCCATGTGTCCGTGTCTCCGTGTCCACGTGTCCGCACGTCTCCGTGTCGGCGTGTCCCCGTGTGATCACCCGCGCACCATGTGTCTCCATGTCCACGTGTCCGTGTCTCCGCCTGTCAGTGTCTCCGTGACCACGTGTCTGCGTGACCACGTGTCCACATGTCCACGTGTCCGTGTCTCCGTGTCTCCGTGTCTCCGCGTCCGTGTCTCCGCGTCTCCGCATCTCCGTGTCTCCGTGTCCCCGTGTGATCACCCGCGCACCATGTGTCTCCATGTCTCCGTGTCTCCGTGTCCACGTGTCCGTATCTCCGTGTCTCCGCGCCCATGTCTCCGTGTCCACATGTCCACGTGTCCGTTTCTCCATGTCCGTGTCTCCGCGCCCGTGTCTCCGTGTCTCCGCATCTCCGTGTCTCCGTGTCCCCGTGTGATCACCCGCGCACCATGTGTCTCCATGTCTCCGTGTCCACGTGTCCACGTCTCCGTGTCCACGTGTCCGCGTGTCTCCTCGTCTCCGTGTCCCCGCGTGATCACCCGCGCACCATGTGTCTCCATGTCCACGTGGTCACGTGTCCATGTGTCCGTGTCTCCGTCTCCGTGTCTCCGTGTCCCCGTGTGATCACCCGCGCACCATGTGTCTCCATGTCTCCGTGTCCACGTGTCCACGTGTCCGTGTCTCCGTGTCTCCGTGTCCGCGTCTCCGTGTCCACATGTCCACGTGTCCGTGTCTCCGTGTCCACGTGTCGACATGTCCGTGTCTCCGCGTCTCCGCATCTCCGTCTCCGCGTCTCCCCGTGTGATCACCCGCGCACCATGTGTCTCCATGTCCACGTGGTCACGTGTCCATGTGTCCGTGTCTCCGTATCTCCGTGTCTCCGTGTGATCACCCGCGCACCATGTGTCTCCATGTCTCCGTGTCCACGTGTCCGCGTGTCTCCGCGTCTCTGTGTCCACGCGTGATCACCCGCGCACCATGTGTCTCCATGTCCACGTGGTCACGTGTCCACGTGTCCGTGTCTCCGCGTCCGTGTCTCCGCGTCCGTGTCTCCGTCTCTGTATCTCCGTGTCTCCGTGTCCCCGTGTGATCACCTGCGCACCATGTGTCTCCATGTCCACGTGTCCACGTGTCCGTGTCTCCGCGTCCGTGTCTCCGCGTCCGTGTCTCCGTCTCTGTATCTCCGTGTCTCCGTGTCCCCGTGTGATCACCCGCGCACCATGTGTCTCCATGTCCACGTGTCCACGTGTCCGTGTCTCCGCGTCCGTGTCTCCGCGTCCGTGTCTCCGTCTCTGTATCTCCGTGTCTCCGTCTCCCCGTGTGATCACCCGCGCACCACGTGTCTCCATGTCCACGTGGTCACGTGTCCGTGTCTCCGTGTCTCCGTGTCCACCTGTCTCCGCGTCTCCGTGTCCGTGTCTCCGCATCTCCGTGTCTCCGTGTCCCCGTGTGATCACCCGCGCACCATGTGTCTCCATGTCCACGTGGTCACGTGTCCGTGTCTCCGTGTCTCCGCGTCCGTGTCTCCGTCTCCGTCTCTGTATCTCCGTGTCCCCGTGTGATCACCCGCGCACCACGTGTCTCCATGTCCACGTGGTCACGTGTCCGTGTCTCCGTGTCTCCGTGTCCACCTGTCTCCGCGTCTCCGTGTCCGTGTCTCCGCATCTCCGTGTCTCCGTGTCCCCGTGTGATCACCCGCGCACCACGTGTCTCCATGTCCACGTGGTCACGTGTCCGTGTCTCCGTGTCTCCGCGTCCGTGTCTCCGTCTCTGTATCTCCGTGTCTCCGTGTCCCCGTGTGATCACCCGCGCACCACGTGTCTCCATGTCCACGTGGTCACGTGTCCATGTGTCCGTGTCTCCGCGTACGTGTCTCCGTGTCCCCGTGTGATCACCCGCGCACCATGTGTCTCCATGTCCACGTGGTCACGTGTCCACGTGTCCGTGTCTCCGCGTCCGTGTCTCCGTCTCTGTATCTCCGTGTCTCCGTGTCCCCGTGTGATCACCCGCGCACCACGTGTCTCCATGTCCACGTGGTCACGTGTCCACATGGTCACGTGTCCATGTGTCCGTGTCTCCGCGTCCGTGTCTCCGTCTCTGTATCTCCGTGTCTCCGTGTCCCCGTGTGATCACCCGCGCACCATGTGTCTCCATGTCCACGTGGTCACGTGTCCGTGTCTCCGCGTCCGTGTCTCCGTCTCTGTATCTCCGTGTCTCCGTGTCCACGTGTCTCCGCATCTCCGTGTCTCCGTCTCCCCGTGTGATCACCCGCGCACCACGTGTCTCCATGTCCACGTGGTCACGTGTCCGTGTCTCCGTGTCTCCGTGTCCACCTGTCTCCGCGTCTCCGTGTCCGTGTCTCCGCATCTCCGTGTCTCCGTGTCCCCGTGTGATCACCCGCGCACCACGTGTCTCCATGTCCACGTGGTCACGTGTCCGTGTCTCCGTGTCTCCGCGTCCGTGTCTCCGTCTCTGTATCTCCGTGTCTCCGTGTCCCCGTGTGATCACCCGCGCACCACGTGTCTCCATGTCCACGTGGTCACGTGTCCATGTGTCCGTGTCTCCGCGTACGTGTCTCCGTGTCCCCGTGTGATCACCCGCGCACCATGTGTCTCCATGTCCACGTGGTCACGTGTCCACGTGTCCGTGTCTCCGCGTCCGTGTCTCCGTCTCTGTATCTCCGTGTCTCCGTGTCCCCGTGTGATCACCCGCGCACCACGTGTCTCCATGTCCACGTGGTCACGTGTCCACATGGTCCCGTGTCCATGTGTCCGTGTCTCCGCGTCCGTGTCTCCGTCTCTGTATCTCCGTGTCTCCGTGTCCCCGTGTGATCACCCGCGCACCATGTGTCTCCATGTCCACGTGGTCACGTGTCCGTGTCTCCGCGTCCGTGTCTCCGTCTCTGTATCTCCGTGTCTCCGTGTCCCCGTGTGATCACCCGCGCACCACGTAGGCAGTGATCTCCTCCCCGCAGTCGGCCACCAGCACGGTGAGCCCCGCGGGGCCGCGGCGTGGGCCCGGCGCCAGCGCGGCCAGGCCGTTCACCTTGGCCCCGTGCGCCAGCGTCACCACGGGCCGCCAGCGCCGGCTCTCCACGGCCGCCGTGGGGGCGACGATCGCCGCCGTGGCCCCTGGTGACGAGATGTTGACTGCCTCACCTGGCACGCGGGAGGGCGTGGGTTCGATCCCGAACCCTGGCGATGCCTGCTGCTGCTGCTGTGTATGTGGAGTCTGCGTCTCTCTCATCATCACGGTGGCTAGGAGATGTTGACTACCTCGCCTGGTCTACAGGAGGTCGTGGGTTCGATCCTGAACCCTGACGACGCCTGCTGCTGCTGGATGTTTGGAGTCTGCGTCTCTCTCTCATCATCATCACGGTGGCTAGGAGATGTTGACTACCTCGCCTGGTCCACGGGAGGTCGTGGGTTCGATCCCAGACCCTGATGACGCCTGCTGCTGCTGATATATATTTGGAGTCTGCGTCTCTCTCATCATCATCACGGTAGCTAGGAGATGTTAACTACCTTGCCTGGTCTACAGGAGGTCGTGGGTTCGATCCTGAACCCTGACGACGCCTGCTGCTGCTGGATGTTTGGAGTCTGCGTCTCTCTCTCATCATCATCACGGTGGCTAGGAGATGTTAACTACCTCGCCTGGTATACAGGAGGTCGTGGGTTCGATCCCGAACCCTGACGACGCCTGCTGCTGCTGTATATGTGGAGTCTGCGTCTCTCTCTCATCATCATCATCACGGTGGCTAGGAGATGTTAACTACCTTGCCTGGTATACAGGAGGTCGTGGGTTCGATTCCCGGCCCTGACGATGCCTGCTGCTGCTGTATATGTGGAGTCTGCGTCTCTCTATCATCATCATCATCATCACGGTTGCTAGGAGATGTTGACTACCTCGCCTGGTGTACAGGAGGTCGTGGGTTCGATCCCGAACCCTGACGACGCCTGCTGCTGCTGGATGTTTGGAGTCTGCGTCTCTCTCTCATCATCATCACGGTGGCTAGGAGATGTTGACTACCTCGCCTGGTACACAGGGGGTCGTGGGTTCGATCCCGAACCCTGACGACGCCTGCTGCTGCTGCTGTATATTTGGAGTCTGCGTCTCTCATCATCATCACGGTGGCTAGGAGATGTTAACTACCTCGCCTGGTCTACAGGAAGTCGTGGGTTCGATCCCAGATCCTGGCGACGCCTGCTGCTGCTGCTGTATATGTGGAATCTGCGTCTCTCTCTCATCATCATCATCACGGTGGCTATGAGATGTTGACTACCTCGCCTGGTCTACAGGAGGTCGTGGGTTCGATCCCAGACCCTGACAACGCCTGCTGCTGCTGTATATTTGGAGTCTGCGTCTCTCTCATCATCATCACGGTGGCTAGGAGATGTTAACTACCTTGCCTGGTATACAGGAGGTCGTGGGTTCGATTTCCGACCCTGACGCCTGTTGTATATTTGGAGTCTGTGTGTCTCTCTCACTCTCTCACTCAGCAATCATTTGCGATAGCCAAGTCTACACAGCTAAGAGGGGCTTTCCTGGTGAAATAAAACAAATATTTTTTTATAACAAACGCCCGGCCGGTGAGCGCAGGCGGTACAGCAGGAGGTGTGGACTCATCTCCATCTGTTCCATCTGTGCGGGGATAGAGCGTTGCCCCCTCGCAATGCTCCCCACCCTGCACCCTCCCCCCACCCTCCCCCCACCCTCCCCCCACCCTGTACCCCCACCACCAAACCTCCCCCCCACCCTCACCCCCCAACCTCACCCTCCCCCCCCACCCCCCAACCTCCCCCCCACCCTTCACCCCCACCCCCCACCCTCCACCACTACCACCCACCCTCCCCCCCACCCTCCCCCAACCTCCCCCTCCCCCCACCCCCACCCCCCAACCTCCACCCCCACCCCCCACCCTCCACCCCCACCCCTCACCATCCCCCCCACCCCTCACCTTCCCCCCCACCCTCCACCCCACCCTCCAACCTCCCCCCCACCCTCCCCCCCACCCCCTCACCTCTCTTGGTGCGTCGCCGCCCTTTGACCCTGCTCCCACGATGCCCCTGCGGGAGGTCGCCACCGTCACCATCTTCATCACCACCACCACCACAACCACCACCACCACCACCGCCACCACCTCCACCACCCCCGCCACCACCACCGCCACCACCACCGCCACCACCACCACCCTCCCCCCCCAGGTCCCAGAGGCAGACGCGGCCGTCGTTGGCGCCGGACAGGAGACGCAGCGACAGCCCAGACACGTCACTCAGCAGGCACACCTGGGGGTGGGGGGGCGTTGGTGAGTGGTGGTGAGTGGTGGTGAGTGGTGGTGAGCGGTGGTGAGTGGTGCCGGTGTTACCGGTGAGCGTGGGCTGGTGCCGGTGTTACCGGTGAGCATGGCGTGGGCTGGTGCCGGTGTGGTGGTCAGGTTTGACGCACACGCGCCACAACCAGGGGGAGGGGTAGGAACCGGTCCGAACCGGTCGGGCCAACGGCAGTTGGAACCCCTCTGAGGGGGGGGGGGGCTGGGGGGAGCTACGACCCCCCCCAGAGCCCCGCCCCTCAGGGAGAACGAGTATATAAGGCGGGTCCCTGAGAGCGCGAGGCGGTCCGTCTCAAGCCGAAGCCAGAAGCCGCCGGAAGAAGAAGAAGACCCTGTACCCCAAGCCGCCGACGTCCTTCTGAGGGCCGGGGCTCAGTGCGGTGCCGGTGGTCGAGAGGCTAGGACCCTGAGGATCCCTCGGCCTGATGCCCTTGTGAGTGAGGGCCTAGCTCCGTACGGGCCGGTGGTCAGGGACCCACCGGGCCAGCGGTGGGTCAGCCTCCCCTAGGTCTAGCCAGCCGGAGGGCTGGAGTAGGGAGAGGCGTGGTTACGATAGCACGGAGGCTGTACCTCCCCAGGCTGTGGGTGGAAGGGGCCATTACCCCTTTGTGTGAAGGGATTAGTGTGAACTGTTTGGTGAATAAAACGTGTTGCCTCTAAGAAGACTACGTCTCCTTCCGGAACATTACACCGGTGTTACCGGTGAGCGTGGGCTGGTGGTGGTGTTACCGGTGAGCGTGTGCCGGTGTCGCCGGCGAGTGTGGGCTGGTGCCGCTGTTACCGGCGAGTGTGAGCAGGTGCGGTGTTACCGGTGAGCGTGGGCTGGTGCTGGTGTCACCGGTGAGCGTGGGCTGGTGCCGGTGTTACCGGTGTTACCGGTGTTACCGGCGAGCACGTGCCTGCCCCACGGCGGAGGCGTGCGCCCCCGCGATCCTGGTGGTGCTCCACGCCCCCCCCCACCCCCCCCTCCCCCTCCTCCTCTGCCTCCTGCGGCCGCCACCACCACCACCACCGCCACCGCCACCGCCACCGCCGCCACCGCCACCACCGCCACCACCACCACCGCCACCACCGCCACCGCCACCGGCAGGAGGGCGGAGAAGGTATATGGAGCCGTCTCCGGCCCCACAGGCGCACAGCGGCCCGGCGCCGCCACCAGCACCAGCGCCGTCCGTCACGGCCAGGCAGTGCGCCAGCGGGGGGTTGACCAGCTGGCCGAGGGGCCCCGCGGAGGTGGAGGAGGAGGTGGAGGTGGAGGAGGTGGAGGAGGTGGAGGTGGAGCAGCGTGGCAGGTCGACGCGCCAGCGCTCACGCAGGGAGCCCACGTCCCAGCACGCCACCTGCGGGGACAGCGGGCGCGCGTCAACGTAGACGTCGTCGTCGTCATCATCATCATCATCGTCGTCGTCGTCGTCATTGTTAATGTCATCATCATCGTCGTCATCGTCATCATCGTCGTCGTCATCATCATCATCGTCGTCATTGTTAATGTCATCGTCATCATCGTCGTCATCATCGTCATCGTCATCATCATCATCATCGTCGTCATTGTTAATGTCATCATCATCGTCGTCATCGTCATCATCATCGTCATCATCATCATCGTCGTCATTGTTAATGTCATCGTCGTCATCGTCATCATCAATCGTCATCGTCATCATCATCATCGTCGTCATTGTTATCAATATCATCGTCGTCATCATCGTCATCATCGTCGTCATCGTCGTCATCATCGTCATCATCGTCATCATCGTCATCATCATCGTCATCATCGTCGTCATCATCATCGTCATCATCGTCATCATCATCGTCATCATCGTCATCATCGTCATCATCGTCATCATCGTCATCATCATCGTCATCATCGTCATCATCATCAT